CAAATTTTAAAGGTGATAACTGATAATTTCGTGTTTATTTTTATTCCCTATTATTATTATTATTATTATTTAAGTGAAATCTAATTTAATTATGTATGTATAAAACTATTTTTTTAAAATCAAATTTAGGGTTTTAAACTTAGGATTTTACCCCAATAACGTATTTTTTATTAGTTAAATAAGGTATTTTCAGGAAGGTATTTTTAAATAAGGTATTGAATTTTCAATTAAAAATGATAATAAATTTTTAAATGGAAATTTTATATAATGCTAATAAAGTTATAATCTATAATTTAATATAATTTAATATTTGATATATGTTATAGTTATTGTTTATTTTATTTAATGTTTTTTTAACATTATCTACTATAATAATATAATTGATATCTAATCTAACAACGTTTCGATTTCTTCATGTCTCCTTTAGTTAGATTAAAAATTAAAGTGTCTCCTATTAAAAACGAGACTTGATAAGTTTTGAATAACATCATGAATTTTTTAAAATATATTAATAAAAATTTTAATTAATTAATTGAAAAGTTTTAGATGAAAAAATAAATATTTTGAAATTATTTTATTTAAAAATATATTATCTTGTGTATTTATCTATAAGAGTTTTAAATATTTATTTAATAAAAAATATAAGATTTAGGTCGTGAATTAATTGAGAATATTTTATTTTTTTTAATCTAAAAAGGAATATTTTGAATTAATTATTAAGTTACAAGATAAAGATAATTAATTGTGACTAAAACTGTTTTTAATCATGAATTACTTACAAGTTAGAATTTTTGGAGTTTTCTATATAAAAAACAGTAAGGCACACTTATTTCACACGTCTTATATTTTAAATTTTAAATTTCACACTTTTATACTCTGAAGAGAAGGGAGAATAACAGCAAAATATTAAACCCTAAACTCAATTATACTATACTAAATTGTTGTCTATACTATGTTTGAGTTATTTTAGTAACATATGATATGATATCTAATTTTCTTTTTGTCACAATAGTTGTTAGATAATTTGTATTAAATTTTATATAATTTATATAACATAAATATTTTAGAGGAACGTTTAATCTAAATGAATAATTTTGTAATTAATAATAACGTGGAAACAAGAAAATAATTAGTAATTAGTAATAATATATGAAATATAAATATAATAATAATTAATAATCATTTACATTATAATCAATAAATAAAAATAATTATAATAATTGAAGTATTTCTATCTAAAATTTTTATTTTATTTTGAAAAAAAATTGATATATATATTTTTTTACTTATTTTTAATAGTGATTTATTTTATAATACTGCAAAATATAATAATGATTCATAACTATTAAAATATTTTTATGTAATTTTTTTAATTTTGATATATTTGTTATGATAAATTTATTTTTAATTATTTTCAGTAACATTTTATTTTTTAATATTGTTAAAATTTAATAATGATTAGTAATTATTAAAATATTTTTATCCAAATTTTATCTTTTATTTTAATATATTTGTTTGTTTATCTTTATTTTCAGTAAGAGATTTGACATATTTGTTTTTTTATTTAATTATTTTAAGTAATAGTTTATTTTATAATATTTTTATATAAAAATATTTAGAAGGAAATTATTGGATAAAATAAATATTTATAATAGATTTATTAAAGAAAAGTTCATGAGAGAAAATTATTAGAAGGAAACAAATTGGAGGGAGCTTTTGGAAGGAAGGAGTTATTCCCATAAGTATATAAGAATATACTATAGATATATCCCCATTATTTTATCTATAATTTGTATCACATTTATAATCATATTCCTCTATCTTTGTCTTCTTTTGATTTTGCGATAGTTATCTATATTGTCTTTTTATCCATTTAAACAAAAGTAAAATACTTTTTTTAATAGTGTTAACTTCATATTAAAATATTTTATTTATGATTAAAAATTATAATATGAAAAGATTCATGCATTTATGAAAAAAAATTATATTAAAATTATATATTTAAAAATTTTATATACAAATTATTATGGATTTATATAACAAAATATTATATTTAATATTTTTAATATATAAATTATTGTAAATTTATATATCACAAATTAGTATATTTATCATATTTGATATCATTTTCTTTTAGTATTTGATAAACATAATATGTGAACAAACTTTACAAGAGATTTTATATATGAAGAAGACTTCAACAAATTAGAATTTATCGGTAATTATAGATGAACTTTTTGGATGTGACACAACAATAAGAATTATTATTTGTTTTTATATGATGATGAGATAATTAATTAAAAATTATTTAAATGTGTATTTAATTAGTCTATAATATTTTTTTTTTTATTTTTACAAGTATATAATCATTTGGTTTAATTGTAATTTATTGGATTGATTTTACGAAGACTCCAATTAATTTGGTATAGAAAATGAAAATATAATTGATTTTATGAAAACCCTGATTAATTTATCTGTAATATATAAATATAATGGACTTATTTTTTTTTTAATTAATTGATATGACTACATATCTAAAATAAGGATGAAACTTCAATTCTTAATTAAAGAATAAAAATTTTAAATTATTTTTCTTAGGAATTTTTAATCTATTGGACTTACATATATAGTTACATGTAATATTAACAAATAATAACTATTAAATATTGATACATGCATGTCTATATTAAATAAATAAAGGTCAATATATAATTTTATCTTATAAATTGATTTATCAATACTCCAAAGACAAAAATCATTATATTTGTTTTCAATGATATTTGGTAAATATATAAATAAACATTTTTTCCTTAAAATAGTATTATATCTTATATTTATTGAATATAATATAGTATTTATAACAATAAAAATAGAAAGCAATTTCTTCCTCATACAGCACAAATTAATGTATTTGTTACACCTTCTACCCTGACATAATATACAATAATTGTAAGATAAAATTAGAATGAATAAAAACTTTTTCAATTAGATAGGTCTCAGTTAACAAAGAGGTAAAAGATTCACATTCACATGCATAATCATAATTCACTTGTGAAAATTACAAAAGAAATAAAGTTAAAAGTTTTCCAAAACAAAAGAAAGAAACTAAAGTCCTAAACTAGTCCTAACTACACCTCGATGTCACATCCTATTAGAGCATGCTCAACTAAAGCCTAAGCCTCATAACCAACATCATCATGTTGATGATCACTTGCAACACAATTTAAACACATACAAAGAGAAACAAGGGAGTGAGAAAATATCTCACTCAAGTTCAGGTGTAGAAATAAATGTTAAGCAGAACACACACAACAAACATAATACAAGTCACAAGTACAAATCACATATAAACAATACACATACACAATCAGTATTACATGCACATTCATTTATCATACAATGATGTCATGGAATCGACTCAAATGCATGCATGTGGCGCTACTCACGTGTCTCATAATCACATATCACATGGTATGCTGTCGAAGCAACATATCTGGAGTAGTCTAAGAGTACATGTCGGCTCAACCGCACACTCTCAACTAGAAGGATGTACTGCTAGGATCTCGTCAAGATAGCAAAGTCGCGCAAGATACATCCCATGCACACAAACGGACAGAACTGAGCCTTCCAAACTGCACTATCCCTATGACTCCTCCAAGATGTTTCACACTTGGAGACCCTTCCCTAACTATGTACTCCATATCGTACCCCGTCACATAAATACATATGATGCATGTCACACATTCACAAACTCATGGACTCAACACTTTACTTGTCAAAGTATTTCATGTCTTATCTCATTTCATCAATTTCACATTCTCATAATCATAGTATTCACAGTATCACGTAATTCACATCATGTCTCATGTCACTTGTTCACATTTCACATTTCTCATAAGCATACTCATAAGATCATCATTTGGAGATTCTTGTCCTTATCATGCTCATAAAACACATCACTTATATTAACACAGTAATAAGGCAATTCTCACACCATTTACACCATCAACTAAGATATAAAACATGTAAAACATCATAGGGATCACCCCCGGCATGCCCCAACTCGCGCCCGACGAATTAAATGTTGCGCCTAAAGCGAAGAAATCCGCTAGACGAGACTTTCATGCGCCTGACTTAAAAATATTGCGCCTGGCTTAACTATTAAGCCCAACTTTAAAAAACTATGCCCGGCTTAAATGTTAAGCTAAATAAAGAGTTCTGAAGTATTTCTCCAAGCCTAGGTAGGAGAAAAGAATTAAACAAGAAATAGAGTAAGAGAGGAAAAAGAAACTAGGAATCCCATATGGGACCGAAGGCTGCAATTCCAACATGTTTGCATGCATTCACAACATCTCTGCTTCCTTCTGGATTACTGGTGACAATGACCACTTCAACACCCCAATTCTTTGCAGCGGAGACACTCAAATGAGAGACGTTTGGCCTACCCAGCACAGCAGTATCATGGAGTATGACCTTCTCTTTTGGGTACCCACTTACCATTTCTTTAATTTCCTTACCGAAGTTTTGTTCAATCCCCTTAGCCACCCAAAGTAAGTAAACATCCGCTTTACATGGCTGCAAAAGGAAGGAAAGAAAGACACAAATTCCTGAGCCAGTGGCCACCAACAAGACCTTCCCATACATGTTCACCAAATAAGGGAGGCCAGCGAAGTGCACTTGGCGAACCCACAAATGGGTTGGTGGGTTTGAGACCAAAGACTTTGTGAAGTCACCAACTGCACCAGCCAGCATCATGTGCTCTTTCTTCCCATCTGATATTATTCCAAAGGCATGCCACTCAGACAGTGGAGAGGGGCTTATCCTTCCAAGTATCCCAGCCTTTATTCCTCCCTCAAACCTTATCATCGAAGCATGCCCAGAAGCACTTGACACTTTCACACCCACACGTCTCACTGTCAACCATGGCATTATTATAAGAACCGTGATGCCCACCGTGACCCAAAACTCTTGGCTTTTCACCACCCTTGATCCGAGTTCTTTTGAGTAGGATCTGCTTTTAGGGTCATAAGAGATTGTGAGCATGATGAAGGCCCAAAGGAGACACAAGGCCATCCATCCTGCAAAACGATGTGTCCTCTCGAACACATTGTGGTGGAGATGCCGAACAAGTGGGAATGCAGCCAAAGATGTGAGACAAAGAAGGGCAAGAATGGAAGAGGAGACACCGATAATCAACGTTGAAGTGTTGTCTCTATCTTTAAGAGTGAGGACTAGTGCGTACACCAGCCATGCAATTGAAGACACGCCACAACCACTGTGTATGCCTCCAAGGCTTTGTAGAAGAGAAGTTGTAGCTGTTTTGAGGAAGAGAGGGACCCATGACCTCCCAAGAGTCTT